TGCCGGCGCAGCTGCGCTGGATGCTTCTGTTGGTGCTTCTGACCCACCAGCAGCTGGAGCATCGGAAGCAGGGGCAACGGGCGGTGGTATATCCGTGTCGGGCTCTTGCTTGACTGATGTCTCAGAAACATTAGCTGATGATCCATCGCCTTTGGCCGCTCGACTGGCGTGACGCAGGTCTCTCGCAGCTTTGGCTTGCGACTTTTTCCTTCTCGCGTAGGCCTTCTCGCCGTATGCACGGGCATCGAAGATACCGTCTCGAGGCAAAGGCGGCATTAGCTCGCAAACGAGCGAGAGAGCTTCTTGGATCTGCTCTTTGGGTCGATGGGCCAGATTTTGTAATACAGCTACATCCGCCACTGCAGTGCCCTCCGCGACGCTTTCTGCGCCAGGCTCCACATCGGTCGCGAGAACGGCCATCGGAGCTGACTCTGCGGAATCAGTCACACCTTCGGATTGCAATGGCTGCGCCAGGCTCGCTGCAGGACCGCGTCCACCTGATCCATCTTCAGCAGGAGCGGGCGAGCCGGTGAGAAGCAGGTAAAGAGTCTCCACAATGTTCTTGTCCAGCAGGATGACCGCTACCTCTGGACTGGAATGTGCAGATAGACCGAGCGTCTTGAGGATGTCGGTATAAGTGGCTGTGCTGACAGCTGTGCTTGCGGCTCCAGTTGACGAGGTAGCTGAGCCTGAGCCTCCAGAGCCTCCTCCCGCAAGTAGAATGGCATTCAGAGCGGCAACCATCTCATTGGTGAGAACTTGCTCGAGCAAATCCGGACGGTGTCGGTAGCTATCGATGATGCGCACTACGCACTTGCAAGCGCTTTCCACCAAGCGCTGATCTGGATACGTGAGAACGCTTTGAATGATTGGCAAGACATCCCGGACCATTGGGAACGACTCTGGCATGAGCTTGCGACAGCAATTTGCAGCTGCCTGCATAGCGGTGCGTTGGACATGCATGCCGAAGAAGTCGATGTATTGTAGCATCGCCAGCAGCCCGCCCTCTCGCACAATGCCAGACGGATACTCGGCGGAAATTTTCTCAAGTGTCTGTGTGATGGTGCGAAAGGGTGGGTAAGCATCCGTCCAGGGGAAATGATCACTTGGCGCGACATGGTAGGCTACTCACCAAAAGAACTTGCTCTGCGAGATCGATGAACTGGATTTCCTTGAGCTTTGAATGAAGCACGGGAAGGGCTCCGCATCCGACTACTGAATGCGCGGCATAAGGCATCGCCTCGATCAGATTGGCCAGACAGCGGCAAGCGATGAGCATGGCTTCGTCATTGCCTTCGCCAGTCGCTGCAGCAACCGCGGCCAGGTCGTCATCCACACTGCTCGCGACTGCAGCGCTCGACGTGGATTTCGATTTCGTGCCCGAGTCAGGCTTGGGTCCCCCCATCAGATGAACGAGCTCGCGCACAAAGGACTCGGTAGGAAAGTAACCTTGGAGCTGATCCTCAGTACTCATGCTGAGCACCTCGCTCAATTCTTGCAACGCCACGAGTTGAGCTGATGGATCGCTGCTGTCCTTGATGCCAGCTAGAAGCGCGCGGAATCGTGACGGTAGGCCGCTCATGAAGCTCGCCATTGCGCGCAGAGTAGAGCCGTAAGCTCCACCTTCACCATCGCCGTAGGGATCGTCCATTTCGTCCTCATAGGGTCCCTCGTCGTCGTCGTCTTCAACCATGGCCTCCTCCGCTTCTCGAGCGCGACGCTCCTCTTCATCATCATCCTTCTCACCGTCACCTTCGTCTTCGTCATCCTCGTCGTCTTCGTCTTGATTGTGAAGACTTGGATCGAGCGCTTCAAGCTCGTCATCACCAGCCAAGGCCGCCGAGAGGTCCATCATGTCTGCATCTTCGGCATTAGCGTCGCCCGCATCATTCGCGGCAGTGTCCAAGCGCATGTCAGAGCACTCATCCACGGGGTCGACTGCGTTTCGTGCCGCAGACCTTGTGCTTCGACTAGCTCTCGCCTTGGCTTTGCCCTTTGCATTTGCATTGGCAGCGGTGCTCGAGCCAGGAAGAGCGCCAGTCGGCGAGATGCTGCTAGAGGGACCGGCGCCCGAATGGCGTTTAGGGGCCATGACTGTTCTGACGATCGAGCCAGATACGTCGCCGGAGCGTCTAGGCCGCAGATTGTAAGAAGTGCCCTGGGAGCCTTGTTCTTCGCCACCTACCTCGTCCGTGTGCCCGCTCGTACCTGGCTTGGCAGATGCAGTAGCGCAGATGGATGGCTGGGGTGGATCTGGCGAAATTCTGCGTCGTTTACCTTTCGCTTTGGATGAGCTAGACATGTGAGACGGGCTGTGTCAGCGCGAGGGTCTGAAAATGAGACCTTTGTCATCGTGAGCGGTGAGCTACACGTGAGGAGACCGGACTCACCTCGGTGCAGCGTCGAGGTTCTTGATGGCAGAATCGAATCCGCCTGCTACTCTTCGAGTCTGACGTGACGGGGTGGCGTTCTCGACAAGGGCCTGCGAAGCGGAGTCTAGACTCTCC